AAGCATTCTCTTTTTTAAATGGGCTTTGTAAACATTTTAATTATTTTGTATGACTAAGAAATAGTTATTGGATATACATTAGCTTCAATAACATTTTTCCAACTCAATGTTTCTCATAGAGGTCAAATAATATTATAAAGAATTAATGAAAAATCCTAATTCTCTACCCCTTAAGCTTTTTTTAAAAAATATGTTTTTACTGATTTTTTAGAGACAAAAGGGAAGGGAGAGGGAGGGAGAGAGAGAGAGAAACATCAATGAGAGAGAAACATCAATTGGCCACCTCCTGCACACCCCCTACCTGGGCATGTGCCCTGACCTGGAATCAAACCGGCAACCTCTAGGTTCGTGGGATGACGCTCAACCAACTGGGCCACAATGGCCAGGGCAAACTTTTTAAATGTATTCTTTTCTGTTTTCCTTTTGAGATCAGCTTCTCTTACCCCCACCATTTGCTTGTCCCCCCCCCCCTTCTAACTTCCTATATCTGGCAACATTTCACCTAACATCATATTTCATAATTTGCAGTGTCATTAAGTATTCTCCAAAAACCATCATTTAAACATATGAGTTTATTATAATTTATTTAGTCACATGCTCCCCTCCACTTTAGGATGTTTACATTGTTCTCAACATTATGTTATTGTAAGGATGTCCTTGTACAACTATCTTCCTGTGTATCCGTGATTGTTTCTTTCGGAGATATTTATAGGCATGTTATGAGTCAAAACAGTTTGTTGGCTTATAGAAAGGTATTGCAGATTTTCTGAAATGATTGGCTCACCTCACTTCACTAGCTTTATTCTCTTCTTTTAAATCCTCACCCAAGAATATGTTTATTGATTTTGAGAGGAGAAGGGGAGAAGGAGAAGCATCGATGCAGTTGCCTTCCATATGCACCCTGACAGGGCATTGAACCAACAATTTAACTTTACTCTTATTGTTGTCCATCTTTGTGAATTTGATTGGTGAAAACTTGGTGTTTGCTAGTGAAATTCAACACTTTTTCATGTTAATTGGCCTTTTATATTTTGGGGTGAAGAGTCTATTAGTATTATTTACCTTTTACAATGATCTATAATAATAAAAGCGTAATATGCTAATTAGACCAGACGTCCTTCCAGACGAAGCCAGGGCTGCGAAGGAAGCCCGGTCCCAGCTGCCTGCTGGTGGCCGGAGGGAAGCCCAGGTCCTGGGTGCCAGAGGGAGGCCGGTGCCAGCAGCTGGGGGAAGGAAGGCCTACTCTTGCACAAAATTCATGCATCGGGCCTCTAGTAATCATATAAAGTCTATTACCATGTTGCAAGTATCTTATTTTTTGTTTACCTTTCAGTTTTGTCTGCTGCTATTGGACATACAGGAGTTTTACATGTTAATGTAGGGAAGATGGATTCAGTTATGCTTTTTGTTACTTTCCTCATTGCTTTTATAAAGCTAAGACTTCCTATCTCAAATTCATAAATATTTTTCTAATTTTTTTCTTTTTTCCCCTCTTATATTTAACTTTTGACTCTCTACACTATTAATTTTGGTGAAGATTATAAAGTAGGAGATACATTATTTTTCCTAGAATATTATCTGGTTCTCATGTTTGTCCAAAATCCCAGGAAAGCTGTGATATGAACCAAGACAAGTGCTTTTTCTTATTTCGGTGCCTTGATTGTCCCACTGTAAGAAGTGAGGAGGCTGTGGTAGCCCTGTGGAGGGCAGGAGCCCCTTGGAAGCTTTCCCCCTCAGCCCAGAACTTCCCTGGTATTTCTGGGTAACTGGTTCATCTTTCCTTAAGTTAGTCAACCAGTGTGACAGCAAGTTGAGTAAGAGGATTACAGTGCCATTTAATACTCTGTACCCTGGACAATTTGTGCTTCTCACCTTTGCTAACTGTTCTTAACCTACCTCAGGCTCCCTTCTGAAAGGCTTCTGTCTTTCCTAATAATTTCTCCTTTTGCCCAGCTACCTCTTGTGCTTCAGAATTAAAGAAGGATGAGCTACTTCTCAAGAAATACCCAGAAATGGTTGCTGGCCCTGACCTGGCCCTGCCACTTGCCCAGAGCTGTGGCATAAATTTGTTGTAAAGGTTGAAATAAAAATAGGGAAAGCATTTTGAAAAATGGGAGACACTGAAGTGATAAAAGTAATAGCTTGAGATATAAATACCTGCTCTCAGCCTTGTTGTGTATTAGCAGGATTAACAAATTATTATTAACATATTAGTAACAGAAATGGCATTGAGAAACAAAACAGCCACGGGCCACACCTTTTGAGTTTCAAATACGTTCATGTTAACATCTTCCGCAGCACAGAGAATATGTCTTCAGGCATTTTTGTACAATAAAGTCACCTATCAGTCGACCCATTATTCTTATTAAAGTGTTTTAACATGCATCTTCACTTTCTGATTTTGACTGAGTGAACGTGGTCTGCGGCGTAACTTACATCACACACAGGAGGATTCAGGTACTCTGTGATGGTGACCCTATTACCAGCTTTCGTGCCTCAGATGAAAACTGTGTGGACCTGACATTTCCTTCTTGAGAACGTATTTGCTGTAATAAAATACAGTGATTACTTGTAATCTGTAGAACTTGCGTGGAGTCTGGCTAAACCGAAACCATTTTTTTCTCTGATCCGGGAACACACAGCCCTCCATAGCAAATAAAGCATAAGTACTTGTACATAGCTGCAGCCGATGTTTTGTTTGATTACACTTATGGATGCCCTGATCTTTAAATAACATTGAAAAATCGCCTTTACGTAATCTTTGAGTGGGTATGATTGTCAGAGAAACAGTCCCTTTATTAATTAAACTTTCATTTCTCACTGCACTGCTTTGATCTCGTAACATTTTTTTAAATGCCCTGAAGGCTTACTCTCAAAGCTTCCAAATAAATTATGATTTCTCAAAAGCCACAGTATGTTCATGGCTCGATGAGTCCCACAGACAGTATTTGTAAACCCCTGTTAAGTTTTTCTTCGTGTGCTCGTCTGCTGCATAATTTCCTCTGCTGTTGGGTCACATGATTCCTCCCCTCCATGATACACGCACTTAAAATTTTTACTTCCTGATTGAGCCATCGAGATTATGTAAAATGTAAATCCGGCTAAATACCTAACAACAGGAATTTTAAGAGAAAAATGCTGTCTTCTTTTTCTGTTTCATTATTGACGCCTGAAAAAATCCGAGTGCTTCCCTGTTTGTATTTGGAAACACGAGACTGTTAGGGATTGTTTTTGTCCCTTCCCTTTCAGATTGAGTCAGAGTTTGCTTTCATTATAAAAATAATGTACCGGGGAGAGAGACCGTGGGAGTGGTATGGTGGCAGGACTGAAACCATCCAAATGGTTCCGATCACACAGAGCCGTTCGCTTACCTGTTAGTCTTTCCGGTCGGCATGAAGAGTGCAGCATCTCTCAAAGGTAACGATTTGATATTTCAGAATCGTAAATGGCCTCTCAGCCCTTCTGCCGCCTCCTATAAATTGCAGTAATTCCTAGCAGGCTGGGTGACACTTGTTCTATCATGGATCTTAAAATCCCTCACATTTTCTCAAAGCAGTTCTGAAGTTGTCATAGTAACAGCATGATGTTTGGAGGGGCTTTTTAGTAGTTCTTTAGCTAGAGTAAATTAATTTTATGAACTCTGGATGTTTCTGTTTTCACTCCTCTGACAAACAAGGGCCATCGTTGCTCAAATATGTATTTCATGTTCGTTATTTCTTGGTGACTAGTTAAAGGACTTGGTGTGTGTGTGTGTGTGTGTGTGTGTGTGTGTGTGTGTTTTAAGTTTCAGGAAAGGAACAAGAATGTTACCAGTTGATTTCACATAGGTTAAACTTGGATTTTTAGTTACTTCTCTATAAAATCGTACTACCATTGTAGGACCAGAATTCAGTTTTATTATGGGTTATGAGAGATGTTCCCCCAAATTTAATGACTTATGTCCAGGTGTTTCAACTACCCTTTGCTTTGATTCTGATCTATTTGGAATAAGAACTGAGGAACACGGGAGGGAAATCTGTCAGACTTACAGGAGAAAATTACTTCTTTAAAAATGCAACACTCATCCAACAGCACAAGCATGTTCCACCAGAGGGGGTAGGGGTGGGGGGCGGGGGGGGGAGAGGATATGTCTGGCTTTGTCAAAATTAAAACTTCAATACTCCTTGCAACTAAAAAAATATAGTAAAGTAAATTATAATCTAGGAAAGTCTGCAGGAATATTTTATGGGGAGAAAGTAGGTCAGGATCTCCTATTAGCAAGTCTCTGTGGCAGAAATTCTTGCCAATATGGCCATCGGGGAGCGAGGGAGCCTCTCTCTTGGGCAGGGAGAGGGTCAGAAGAAAGAATGGTCTGTGCTAGGTCTGGACGCTGAGACTTTAAAAAGTGTCACATGTTTGATGCTTTTGTGTTCTTGTGAAAGTGATCAGAGAGATGGGACACTTACAGCAGCTGTCATGTGAGTTCCGTGGGTTTAATGCTCACGCCAGTATCCTCTCGGCTCTGGGGCGTGTTGGTCCAGCCGGGGCGGCAGGAAGGTGCAGCCAGCAGCGGCGAAGGTGCTAATGCCGGGCCGGTGATGTCAGGAGGGACCAGACAGCGCTTTAAAACACGGCAGTAAACAAGGTGAAAGTGTCCCTCTTTGCTGGAAGGAGGTTTGTTTTTATGAGCGGGACAGGACACGGATGAAGTATTTTCAAAACAAACATCCAATCTGTATGCTTTGTTTGTTTGTTTACTTTTTGGATTTTAAAAAATTAACCCGATGAGATTTAGTGAGGGCTGCATTTTTAAGCAGACTTATCCTGTTTTCCTGTTCTTTTTTAAATTGATTCTCTCAAAAAATCTTGAGTTTTCACAGAGAAATGAAAATACTCCTGATCTTAAATGCAGGTTTAGTGAGCAAGATGGGACCCAGTACAGGGCAAATGCCGATCACAGTCACCAGTAAAATATGCCTTCTAATTTTGTACCTTTTGCTCTTTTTTAAATGTGCGTTGAGTGCGAGAAAGTGAGTGGTGCAGAATACTGCTGACGGCGTGGTTCTCGTCTTCATACAGTTTCCAACCTTGAACCTGAGAATGTCAGAGGCTGGCGTCTCTGGACACCCATCTGAGCAGTTATCTGCCGGTGCCCGGCTCCTGAGCGAACGCGTGGGTGTCCCGGGCGTGTGTGGTAACAGCAGTGGTGACACGGAGCGCCCAGAGGTCGCCTCGCTCTCTCCTGGGGATCCCTGGTCCGTGCTGCCTCTGATGAACTGTGAACTTGGGGCGTCCTGGCAAGCGCAGGCGTTTGGGAGTCCACGGCAAACCTGGACGTCGCATAAGCCCAGCTTTTAAAGTGAAAGCAGGGCCTTGGGGAAGGACCGACTCGCCTACTGCGCTGGAAAACAAAGTAAGTGCTGTTTGTTTCTCCCTTAGTCACTCCTCTGCGTGTTTTCTCTTGCTCGCGTTGTTAGACAGCCAGTATCTGACAGATGCCGAGTGTAACCCTTCACTGGGAAGGAGGGTATGAAGTCTGTTCAGTCGTTCATTGCTGCCTTGATCTTTTCTGTCCTCCTGTATCTAGCCTGCTGGCTTGCTTGTTAGAGATAGCCAGAGACGGAAAGGTCTTATCCATGAGAAAACAAGTTGTTGTTGGGTTTTAATGGTTCAAGAACTTTGCCATCAATTAAATGACAGTGACACAGACGAGGCTTTTTACGTGCCAGGAGCACATCGAGCTCAACAGCCCCAGTTCACTGCCCTTGTTCTCGCTGGGAAGCAGGAAGAGGTGTGTGTACAAGACAAATACAGTGTCCCCGTGAGGGGACTGCAGAAATTAGGTGGGAATGGCTTCTGGACAAGAGGCTGCAATTTAAAAACCAGATTGGTAGTTACAAAATAGTCACTGGGTGTAAAGTACAGCACGGAATATAATCAATAACATTGTAACAACTATGTATGGTGTCAGGCTACTAATACACAGTAACGCTCAACGTAAACGTAATTGAAAAATAACAACAAAAGAGAAAGAAAGAGAGAGAGAGAGAGAGAGAGAGAAAGAGAAAGAAAGAGGAAGGAGAAACAGAGAGAGAGAGAGAGAGAGAGAGAGAGAGAGAGAGAGAGAGAGAAAAGAAAAAAGGAAAGAAAGGAAAGGAAAGGAAAGAAAAGACAAAAGAAAAGAAAAGAAAAGAGAAAAGAAAGAAAGTCAATCAGTCGGACAGGAATGGAAAGGAACTGAGAAATAGAAACTGTTTAATGATGTTGGGAAAAAAACAGATTTAATATAAAAATGGGATAAAGTGTATAAAGAACCTAACCTTGTCAACAGAAACTGAACTTGTCCTTCATGTTAGAAAGTTTCATAGGAAGTGGGTTTAATGCCTTTTAGAAGATAATTAAGAATCTTCATCACCTAGACCCCAGGGGTGGGGAACCTTTTTTCTGCTAACGGCCACTTGGATATTTATAACATCATTTGAAGTCCGTGCAAAATTATCAACTAAAAAATCAGCCCACTTTTTTTGGTCAGACACTTAATTAACTCACCCTTAATGCCAGACCCGACGATTTCTCCGGCCTTATATGGCCTGTGGGCCAGACGGTCCCCACCCCCTACCTGTCCAGAAGATTCTGTGACTCCAGCCGAATTCTAAGGCTTGGCCCTGCCTTCCGTTTGTGCTTGTTTCTTATGCTGATCCTGCCGCCACAGATGTGATACATTTTTAATACCAAGTTCTATGGTTTTGGAAGTACAAAACAAATGTAATTGCAGAGCGTTTTATGATCTGTAATGAAATTATCCTTCCTTATAGAACGGACTGTTTTTACTGTAGAATTTTCTTGACTTAAACGGTAACACTTCGAAGGTAGAAGGAGCCAGGAACGCAGAGAGGCAATGGAAGCAGAATCGGGGTCTAGTACCGAGTCTAAATCTCGCTCCAAATGCTGTGTGAATCTGGTAGGGCCTCGGGGCCAGGAGAATTCACATTTTGTCTCCAAGTGGTGATCATAGGACTTGGGGTGTCAGTATTTCATCTGAAACACTTTAAGCTCCTTCTCTGAATGGATGTCTGTGAATTAATCCAGCAAACATCTTTAGGTGCCTCTGTCATATATAGCATTGGTCTCAGAGCTTTAGTTTTTCACAGTTTTAACTTTACAGAGATTTGGTTTATAAGTTAAAGGTCGAGAGCAGTTTGAAACGGGGGTGAATGAGCCGAGCATTGCCATCGAAGCGATCGGGTAAGGTTGGTGCCAAGTAAGCAGGGCTGTCCCCGCCTGAGCTGCCCTCCTAATGAAAGGGAAGGTGGCTGCCATCTGTCTTCTTTCACTGGAGGCTGCAGGGGACCGGGTGTGGAGGGAAGCACCCCCTCCCCTCTACTCCCCCCCCCCCACTCTTTTTTATAGGCCGCTTTCTCCCTAGTCAGTGACCCAGAAGGTCATTGATGATCTGTCTCTCTCAGGATGAATAGTATCGTAAGCATGCAAGGCACTTGCAAAGAAAGTTTCCAACACCCACTGATGCGTTCAGAATGCTGCTTGAATTACGTCTGAGAGTATTGTAATCTCTGCTCTGCTGTCTTTGCCCCTTCGTTACGGAGGGCATTTCTGGCAGGAAAAGTGGGGAGTTTTACTTTTATTGATTTTGCTTTTACATGAAAAAAATTTTACACTCCACTGGGCATAATCAGAAGATGGCAGCACATAGCTATCCAGTGGGGATGTAGGGATATTATTCTCATCCAAGTCAAGGGCACGTGTAAGTTGTGATGTACACGTGCCATCTCAAGGGAAATGGTGGACGAGGATGTTGACAGATGTCTAAGTTGGTCTGCGGCTGCTTCTTGGACCCATTATTGAAATAATTCACACTGTTTATTCTTCAGTGGAGCAATAATAAGCCTTCTGGGAGAATTAAGTTAGTTTGAGCTCATGGCTTAATCTGAAAGTCCTCTTAACAAAATGACTGTGCTTTCTTGCCTCAGTTTCCAACTCTTTAAGTGGATGAGATGTGTGCTGGTTTTAGATGTATTTAAGAAAATAAGAAATAATAGTTTCTGTTTTCGATAAAAACGTTTATTATAAATGGAACATTCTGAAGTATTTGGTTATTTTTGTTTTTATATACTCAAGCAGAGTGTCAGTGTCATCTAAAAAGATTTGGCCCTTACGCACACTGTCTGCGCCCCGCCCCCCCCCCCCCCCCCCCAGGAAGGAGATATGGACTTCCCAGAAAATGCTGGGTTTTACAATTCTTTATTACATGGAAATTTGGGGTTTCTTAAACCCACACAGCAGGTTTGGGAAGGCCCCATGTGAGAGGCATGTCTGTAATTTTATTTAAAGGTCTTTCAGTTTTGGCATCCACTTGTGATGGGCTTTGTTGGAAAACCAGAAGTGCTGCCTTTGTTGAGTCTGGGGCAAGCAGAGGGCAGGTTCTGGAGACGTGGACATTATTTTTTGTGAAGGGGTAACACCAGGAGAGTGGATCGCTTCCCATCCTCTGACGGGTACACCGTGACATTGTTGAGTTAATTCAGGAAATTAATTAACAGGCAGGTGTTTTGGCTGGCCGTAGTTTGAGGACCCCTGGTGTACTGGGTACTTCCATAACAACCCTTTTAAGGTGATTTAAACTAATTCGGTTTTACCCACCAGTATTTACCTCAGGGGGACTAAATAAGCGAATTAAATGAAGCACATCTCGAAAGTGTGACTCCAGTGTTGCCACAGCCAGGTGGCTTCGTTGGTTGGAGCGTCGTCCCTACACCAAAAGGTTGCGGGTTTGATTCCAGGGAAGGGCACATACCTAGCTTGTGGGTTCATTCCCCAATTGGGGCACATGTGGGAGGCAACCAATTGATCTCTCTCTCTCTCTCTCTCCCTCTCCCCAATCAATAAAAACATATCCTCGTTTGAGGATTTTTTTAAAAATGGGGCTCTGATGTAATATGATCAGTTTTAGCTCACACAGCAGAAGACACACAGACATGCAAGCTAAGGTGCCTCCTTGAAGTGCCCTGTGAGCTGGGAAGGTCTGCATTTCCCGCAGTGACGCTGTTGTTTGCCAAGGACACTTTAGAACTTCCAGTTTGCCGTCGCCCTCGGAGCCTCCCATCCTGTTTGTATTGTCCGCAGGAGCAGAAATTCTCTAATCTGTGAGGGTGGGGAGGAGTCAGTAGTGAGGTCTGATGAATAGGATTATGATCAAATAACTGATTTGAGTCACTGATTCCCGTAAACATTTACTGAGCCACGCATTGCATTCTAGTAGTAAGTACCGCAGATTCGAAAATGAGCTCATCATGGACCTGGCCCTTCAGGAAGACACAGTGGGGCGGGACCAGCGACGTATAAAGAGGTGACATGACAGACTGACAAGTGCCATAACAGGTACACGTGGTGCTCCTAGAGCCCAGAGGGGAGTTAAAATAAAATTTAATGGAAAACGAGCATTGTTACATACATGATTTATAAAGTGGCTTACGTAATAGAATTTGGGAAATGAAAGCCCTGAAAAATCTCTTCTCTTTTAAGAATGAGGAGATTGGAATTTATTTCTGAAATTCTTTAATTCTCAGCCAGTTTAAAGCCTTATGAGAAAAAGCATTCATTCTAATGGGCATCTTTTTTTTTTTTGTAAGCCAAAAGAAGTTGTGGCTATAAAAAGGTGAGGTCTAAGAAAGGTTTGGGACTTTATTAGAAAACTGTTCTCTCCAAAGGATATTTTTGAAGAGCGATTCTTATTTCTGTGTTAAAATTGAGTACTTTGCCCGTACTAAATACACCAGAGTGTCCTGTTTATTGCTGAGAACAGCAGTGTAGCTCATAGGAGACAGCGGACTTGAAGCTGGCCTGCATCTGCAAGTTGACAGTGGGCAAGAAAAGGCTCCTCCACATCCCCTTCCCGGTTTTATTTCACAGGGACAGCATTTCTGTCCCGGAGCCGTAGAGGATCTCCCTTGTGGATGAGTTCATTGAACAGTGATCTGTGAAATGGCCCTCGGTGCCGGGCACTGCTCTCAGAGCCGCCCAGAAGCCAGGCTGAGTGGCTGCAGAGCCCGGGCACTGCGCTCCTCAGTAGGACCCTGTCGTTATGCACAGTCACAGCACCATTTCCTGGTGCTGTCCCCCAGCACGAGCACGGCAGGGAAGGCCTGGCCAGGAGGCTGCCCTCGGAGCGTGGAGCTAAGGGTCTGTGCACAGATGAAAACAGGATAAACGTAGAGGCAGAAAATGTATTAACACAGAGAGAAATACAGAAACACACTGCATGTTTGTAGAAAGAAAGGTTTTCCGTGGCGGGGGCATGAGAGTGTTTTGTAGATTAGGAGCATCTGAGCCAGACATTGCAGAAAGGTCGTGTTGACCATGAGGACGTGGAAGGGA